GTTATTTGTTCACGCCCTGTTAGACAGAATCACGGTTATCAGATTAGTGTACGGAATGTTATCATTGTTGAAGCAGCGTTTGTATGCATCTAAAGCGCTTATAATAAATAACGCTATTTTAACATACTATCAATAAGGGAAAAACTAATTAATTAATTAATCTGCATTAAAAAAGATATATACGTTTTATTATCTGAATATTAATTATTCTAAATTTGTAATTAGGGTAATTTAATTTGATTTTCTTACGATAAAAGTTATATCAAAATTAAACTATTTTATACTCAATTTCCTTTCACACATAAAAATAAACATACGTTTTGCACCCTCGATACAAAATTTAATATCTGTTATAATATATAAGGCCTATTGCTAAATTAATTAAAAACTTCTAACACTCTAAAACATTTTACCATACGTCTACCTATGAAAATAAAAAAAATGTTATACAATTTATATTAATTTGATAATTTTTGAAAAAATATGGCAGTTTTAAGAAAAAAGAATTTCGAAAATTAGCGATTTTCAAATTTGTAATTTTTTTGGAAGATTCCCTAACTTACGGGGAACGAGGGAAATTTTTTGAAAATCTGACCCTTTATCTACCCACAGGAGGGAAATTCAAAATAGCAACTTCTGCATAAAAATTTAATTTTTTCAACATAAGTTTTGAAAGTTTTTCAGAAATACTCTGCGCTTCAAACATATGTTAAAATAAAGATAATGTTATTCACTATTAGTTAAAAAAAAAAAATTTGTCCTGACGTCTTATCATCTATATGATTATATAGATTATATCTATATAATCTATAGATTTGTATCAAAGCGTTTCTTATGATAGTGATTTTAATCTCTGTCAGATATCATCTATACTAGTACCAATTATGCCACGTTCACACTGTGCCGCGACCTCACTGTGCTATCGTATTTTTAGATCATATATATTATTGTATTAATTATTAATTTAGGAACTAGAGACAATTATTTATGTATTCTCAAACACAATAAAAAAATAAAAAGTGTTATAAGATTCCTTGTTTTTTATACTTCATTTAACATCGTTGGTAAAATATGCATCTATAAAATCTTTGATGTTTTGATTAGAATACTTTGTTCGTATCTTTTTTTCCTGTGGAAGGGGATAAGAATACAATTATGGTACTTCTGCCAGTCGTAAGAGGCGACTAATGAGATTTCGTCAGATCGACAATCTATGTAAAATTTTGTCCATAAGTATGAGGCGTCCTGAACTTAGACGATTTGTCCAATCTAGGATGTAGTCGGGTACAACAGGTGAGAGGATATAAAATAGGTTTTAAAAAGAGTTTTTAAAGACGGTAAAAAAGAGGAATGTCAAGGGAGATATAAATGATGTGTAGAATAGATTTGCTGGTTGTATAAAGAATATTGCTAAGGATTGATAATGAGAGTAGAAGTAGAATTCCAAGAAACAAAGAAACTTGGTGGTGAGATGAGGACGTTCAAAAATGATAGAGAATAAGAAAAATCAGCTAAAAGAATGACATAAAAGCAAAAGGAGAGAAAATTGGATGGATTATTATTTTTTTTTTTTTTTCAACCGTTAGGTTGGTTAATACCAATTGGTTTGGTATATCCTGGGGAAATTTAAATGCAGTGGTTTCCCGTTCCCTTCTGCATTGGGAACATGGTGCTTTTTCGCCACCGTAGAAGCGCACGTATGGTCACCCATCCGTTCACCTATGGCGGTAGGCGCGGCTTAACACTAGAGTTTTGTCAACAACTAGTGTGACCACCGCGCCGATGGATGGATTATAAACGCAAACAAAGAACCAGTTTGGTTATTTGCCTGGAAAGTCGACGATGGATACAAATTTTTATGTGATACAATTAATAGAAAATTATAGGGAAAAGAAGTAAACACTGTATGGTATTTAAAGATTTAGAGAAAACGTATAACAGAGTACAGAAAAAGGTTTTAAAGCGAGGATTAATGAGAAAAAAACTTCCAATAAGGTACATTAATATAATAGAAGATTTGTATAATGGCCCTTGTAACAAGGTAAAANTTGTAGTTTGTCCACCCCATGTAGTATGAGATATAATTTTGAGAATATTTAAGTATGATTGTATATTTGATTTTATACCCTTTATATGTAATCCAAAAGTCATTTTTGAGTCAAACTCGATTCCCAATATTTTAATTGATTTTAGTTCTGGTAGTTCGTTGTTGTTAAGTACAATTTTTAGTGAAGTTTTCTTTCTTCTTTTTGTAAATAATATGCAATTGGATTTCTGAGGTGAAAAGCTGAATCCAGTTTTCGTAGACCACCCTTGTATGTTAGTAGTTGCTTCTTGTAAGAATTTTTGTACTGTGTTTTGATTGGTACTGCAACACATAAAGTTGAAGTCATCTGCAAACAGCGTGTACTTAACTGGAGGTTTGATATTTGTGGCAATATTATTTATTGCTATTAGGAAAAGGGTGACCGATAGGGCTGAACCTTGAGGTACCCCATTTTGAAGTTCGTGAATGTCAGATATAATGTTATTATTTTTAACTCGAAACGTTCTATCACTCAAGAAGTCTGTTATGGTATTGTACATGTTACCTTTAGAAAGTACTTTGCTTAACTGTCTTAATATTTCGTATCTCCAGGTGGTATCATAGGCTTTGTTTATATCCAAACTTACCAAACCGAGTACCCCTTTACTTTTAAAACAATTCTCAATTTCATGTTTGATAAACATCAGGTTGTCTATTGTAGAACGTTTTTTGCGGAAACCACTTTGTTGGGGGATGAAAAAAGATATATTTTCTAGGTACCAATTAAGTCTAAAATTTGTTTTAAAATCTAATGATAACAGTATAAAATAATAAATACGATTTTATTGATTAAAATAAATCTTTTCAACTTAAATACAAAAATACTTTGAAAAATGAAAACCAAACTATAGAAAAATATTAAATAAGTTATATCTTAATTTTTTTAAATTTCATTCTTACTAATTTGTATAAAATTTTACGAATTTCAAAATGATCAAAAAATGTACGCTTTTCTTATCTTTTACGTGTTACAGTCGGACTATTAACTACTAGAGCTTTAAGTTTTTGGTAAACACCATTTTAGCGTGGCTAAAGCATAAAACCCAACTTGAGTAGATAACATATTTTGTAGGAATATATTAAATCTAAAGAAAAATTAGATTAACCATCCTATTGCTAATATTGAACAATTTTTTATGAAATAAAAAAAAAGAAATTTTTATAACTGAAGTAAGTGTAGTAAATCAATAATTATCAATTTATGAATTTAAAATAAAACTGTAATTATTTATGTAATAAAAATATTCTAAAAATGATTTTTTAATGAAATTTTATTATTTACTAAAATTATGTTTTCCTAGTTATTATGATGGAAAATATTTGAATTGTATATTTTTTTCTTCCTTAGTTCAAATTGCTATAAGATATATATAAAAGTTTCTACTCAAAACAATATTTATCATAATTCAAGTAAGTATTTATGTAATACTTATATTAAGTTTAATGTTTCTGTTTTTAAGTGCCAAACTAGTTTGACGAGAAAATTACATGTTTATATGTTATAGCTATAAATTAGTTAATATTTACTACTTCACAAAAATAGTTCAATAATAATTAAATGTTTATTTTCCACAATAAGAGCTTCTTTTCTATTTCAAGCATAAATAAGGTGTCAAATGAGTTATTAGCTATTAAGTTTGTTGGTAATAATAAATCGATTTTAAGTCGGAAGGTCATATAACACAACAAAACACTAATGTTGATCAGAATTTTGATTTGTTAATTACTCATCCCAAATCGGTCGTCTCGAAAATATTCCCTACATATGATGTTATTATATTTAACCTTTAAAGCATAAATAATAATGCATATTATTTCACATTATCAATAGTATATTTGATTACTTGTGGCTAATTAATAAAAAATAATAAAATTAACCTAACATCACAAAAAGTACTTTAAAAAATCTATTGCATTCAAAAACGATCGTGTATAATTAGTTTCATTTTTAGAGCCTGGGACCCTCTAAATAGGTCTATGCCCATCGGTGATTATTTGAGGATGTAGATGGCTGTAAATAATAAAATGGATTGAATATTTAAAATGTTATTTGGAATAATTCAGCTCGATAACTGAAACTTTCGTTGTTTTGTTTTGCGTTCAATTGTACTTATGGTATTAAAATTAACTAAAAAAAACTGGTGTAAATAGTTTTATTTCTCATTCGTTTTTCTGTGAAATATAATTTAATATAAAAGGAAAGTATTAAAACAAAATATCGCAACGCCTTACAATTGGTCATTGTTCGATATTTTTGAAAAATATTTCTTTAAACTTCAAGAGTCAACAAATTTATATAAAACAATACGAAAATTATTTATTTAATACAAACTCGATCAACTTTTATTTAAAAGCAGTTTTTGCGAAGAATAACTTGCAGATATATATTGATATAAAATAGAAGTGATCTATAGAAAACTTAATATCTCGATTATATCACTGTATCATAATTAAAAAAAATATTATTTATATTTAAATAAAATTTTCAAAATTGTTAAAAATACGATCATAATTATCGATAAGAATATTTGTTGACCCTAGCAATTTATGATCATAAATTATAGATCAGTAGGCTTGTTTGCTTTGTTTAAAATAAATTTGTGATATGCAAGTTTTTATTTTACATCTGTCAGATAGAGTACACATATAAAATTTCTAATATTATCATTGCCACATTCTCAAAATTACATTAACTGTTAATTATTATTCAAATATATCATTTATATTTAATAGAACAAAATACTCGACGACATTGAAATCCGGATTATCATGCAGAAATGGTTTAAAAGCAGATAATATGAGTTATATGAATGTTTATTTGACAAAATTCTTTTAAAGTAAGATACAATATCCTTTATCTGTATAAATAGCGTTAATTATTCCAAGGTTTTAAAAAACTCCCAATCATTCTTACCGAACATTTGCGATACACACGAATTCGCATCCATAACATGTATAAAGTGCGACTAATCGATGCATTAATTCTAAATTAACATCAATATTACTATACATCAGTAGATATAATAGATTCTTTTTATTTTCGACAGTTCATTTTCATCATATAATTCAGTATTTTATTATTCCAGAGGATTCGCTCAGGTATTAATTCGAAGAGAAGATTTAATTTTTATGCTAAAACACAATGTAATTAATCGAAGTAAAAAATATTTTTCAAGGTTCTCCCCAGATAAATTTTTCGACATAAAGCATCGCGTCTAACACACTTGTTCATTCTATCAAGCACTTCTAACGTCAAAGGATACCATAACAGTTTATACATCATCGCACAAATAATTATGGATACGCCGGTAAGGCTAAAACAAGTTTTTATATTTCTATAACAATTGTAATATAATATAATGTAATTGTAACATAAAACTATGTCCCTGATACTATGTAAGTTCAATGAAAACAATATAATAGCTGTAAAAAATAATAATAAGTTATAACGATATATAATTTTTTTAAAGACTCAGCGAATTGTATGTAGGTATATTTTTAATACAACTATGTATAAGTGACAATAATTGTCACTTATGCTTTAATAAAAATAATATTTATAAATCAATGTATAATTAATAAGCTGTAATTATTTAAAGAAATAATAGAAAATGTATCTAAAATGGAATAATTATAAAAAAACAAAAAAAATAGTTTTTTTTTTATTTGTTAGTTTTCACATATACTTGCTCAGTTGTCTTATTAACTTTTAAATATTTTTTTCATACGCTTAAAATAATACTTCTTGTACCATTTTTTGAATGAATATATATTATTTTTTATACTTATTTTATTGTTATTATTATAANTGTAAACAAAATAAATAGCAGAACTTATTTAGTAAAATCAAAGGAACATAGAATAAAGAATACTTTAAAATGTCACAAAGTTTTATCTTATCAAATGAAAAGAAAACATACTTATATTTAACCCCTTTACTTATAAAATAGAGTAGTAAAGTTTTACTATAAATAAAATACTTCAATTATATAATTTTCTTAGTTTCAATATAATCTTTTAACTTTCTTAAAGAAAAAAACGTCTAAAATTATAAATATTGATAAGTGTAAGTCATATTTAAGTATAAGTAGAAAAACAGTCAGATTCTAAACAAGATGACCTTCGTAAAAATTAATCATAATTTTAGTATAAATCAATGATAATAGTGCACAAATACTGTTTGATGTGAGAAAAAAAAAAGCGTATAAATTTATTTTATTTAATAATAGCATCAACAATGAAAATGATAAAACAATTACAATGTGTGAACTATTTTTTTGATAACTCATAAATTTGAATCATTCAAATGTACAATTAAAACAAAAGGAAACATCATTTTATATGTATTGTAGGATTTCAGAATCTTAAAATTTATTTAAGTAATAATAAAACATTTATACAAAATAATTTATTCCTATCAATTAAAATATTAATATTTTTTTATAAGTATGAAAAATATTTGTTCTAAAAAAAACCCCCAACCCACACATTGTAATTGTTTTATCAATTTCGGTTTTTTTTCTATATATAATTTTTGTTTTAAAAACAGATTTTGTTATACATTTATAGAATAAATACATTGAAGCCAAAACCAAGGACAGTTTGCCCCCTACAAAATACAGAAGGGTAGAAGTATCATTTATCCCTCCAATAAAACTAAAAACAAAATTATGGATAAAAATAATTGTTATTGTTTAAGTTTTAAAATTTTCTTTAATAATTTGATTTGAAAAAATTATTTTAATAAATATCAGATTTTATGACTATTCCTAGTATTATGTTTATTAATATTAATTATCAATTACGGCCTCGCAAATTTTTATGTCTAAAGTAAAATTACATTTGGGTTTTATTTTTTGTTGAGTACTTTATTTATATACTAAATATTATATTATAATTTAGTACAAGTAATTCTACTTCAAAAGTTTGATTTTGAAAGTCCTATAAATTGAATTAGATAGTGTCTAAAGTTAATGATAAGGTCCTTTTTTTACTTATTTGAATAATATATATATATTATTATTAATACTATATATATTAATACTATAAGCTATATTTTAGTATGTTATCGATAGTTATTAAAAATATAATAAATTATGCATTGTTAGGGTAAAGGTTATAAACTAAGTGTTTTTTTTATGTAATCACTAAAAATACCAAAAAAAATAGCTTTATCAACATTTTTAGCTCTAAAACATTAAAAAAATAATAATTTTTAGTTATTAAAGTTTTGTTCCTTATATAAAAATTAGTTCAGGCAACCCTAAATAAATAAACCTTGTATGGGTAATGTGTACAGGTAAAATCTTTTAGGTTTTCATGTCAAATGGTTTATTATATATATTCGAATTAATTTTAAGGAAATCAGATTCTAAAAACTTCATAGATTACATAAAATATATCTAGCAGGGAAACTTAATTAATGATATCCTGTTAAACTATATATATATATATATATATTCAAAATTAAATAGCATTTAAATACAATAACCTAAAATTAATACTGTTTTTCTAATTAAAGTTTTTTAGTGTTCATTTATTAGGAATTTTTTATTTTCTCAATTATACAAATATAAAAACTAATAGTTTTAAAATATAAGCCGTGCTATTTAATTTTGATATGATTTAATTGATGCGTGCATTCAAAAAAAAAAAACAACAGTATTCAGTTCACTTAGTTCTACGTCGCATTTAAATGAATTTCACATTTCTTTCGACCTTCAAATAATATTTTTTTTATCATCAATAAAGTTTATGTAACGAGTCTTTATTCACTAAAAAAATGTATTTACTAACAAAAAAAGTCAAATTTTGTTATAACATTTTGAATAAACAAAAACAATGTAAAAATTAATTCGAAGCAAGTAAAAGGTAGATACATTAAAGTAACTAATCGAAATACCTTTTACAATTTTATACTTTTACCAACCAGTTACTGATCAATATATTGGCCCAGGTTATTAAATATAATAGTATTTCGTAAATATTTTTGTACAATGGCATTTGGATAAATAAATTGAAAAACAAATGTTATCCGGTGTTCCTTAATGAAAATTTCAAACATTAACTGATTACAAAATATATTATACATATTCGTTAATCATAAAATAATGTTATGTTTTTAGATAAATTCATTAAAGATTATCATCTTACTGACACTAACGATGACCTGCATTCTTGGCGCACCAGCTAATGATAAATCAGTTGAACAAGATAACGAAAGCAATAGTAAAATCTTAAACGAAGTTGGTCCATCACAAGAAGACTGGAAACTTTATGAACAATTGAGCAAAGCTAAAGCTTTTGATCCTTCTAACGACTCAGGTAATATCAAGAAACTCTTTAAGGAAATCGAGGAATTCTCGCAACTAGCGCAAACAACTTCTTTACCAAATGATAACAATGACAGCACAAGAGGAAATTTCGATGACAAAATAGTACAAAAAGATTCCGAGTCCGCTTCTTCAGACTGGTTCAATTCCTTATGGAAAGAAATTACAGCCCGATCAAGTAACGATGACGACGATAGTGATAGAACCCAACCCAACACTACCACCACTGAGACGCCAATTGACGTCTTATCGTCACAAGTAGATCAACAGCAAAATGAAGACAACGGTCCTGTTGAAGATATCGTAAAAAATTTGTCTGATGACCTAAAAAAATTTTACAATAAAATCAAACAAATTATCAAGGTGGTGAAAAACTGGTATGCACTTTGGACAATAATAAACACACTTTCTGGAGCCGTAGGGTGACAACAAAATTACCTACCTTTTACTTTTAAATATTGCACCACAACAAATCTAATTAATTAATGAATTTATCAAATACATTAATTTAACAATACATACCTGACTGTTTTAAAAATTTGTAGAGATAATTATTACTTGACCAAGATTAATCAGCACACTTATATCAATACCACGCAGAAATGTTTAAGGCCTCTTATTTAATAATGGTTCATCATTTAACCTAAAAATATAACCTTTATCCTAAATTATACGACTGGTTTTGCGTGTAAGTTGTATGTGCTTCTAGAGAATCAAAAGAAAAAAAAAATCAAAGGAACACTTAACAACTTTTGAATTTTACATTGGACCATCACTTAAAAATTTATTATACAAAGAATGTTCAATATATATTTTACTGTAAAAGTTACATTATTATTTAAAAAAAATTAATGATCATAATTAATTAATCTTTAAAGTATCTCCAAATTGTATTTGTGAAAAATTGATTATTACCTATTAGTAATAGTTTTTCGTCTTTTAAAATTTTAAATTTTTCGTCTAATACATAACAAATTAATTATTTTTTATAATATATTAGTTTCTTAAACGTACAAACATTTTTTTACAGGGTCGAACAACGCAAGGACGGGGATTATGTTAGTGAAATGACTGGCAGCGCAACCGAACAAGATGGTGTTTTTGTAATTGCTGACCCAATAATTGGTGACAATGATAAATCCAACAAATATGTATTGCCAATCAATGCACAATAAAATGCATATTTAACTTAAAAAATTAAATGTTCCAAGTATAACTTATTTGCACTATAATTAATGTATCTATCATTACTTCAATTACTTTATCAATTTTTATGTTTCATGAAATTAAGTTCCTGAAGTCTTGTTAATGTACAATAGAAAATGTTCACCAAAAAAGGAAATCAGTATTAACCTTGCAGTTATATATTCTAGTTATTAATTATGTATAGTTATAAAAATAAATTATGATTTTATTATAAAATTCTACTGATATATCATTTTTTTCATGCAATACAAATTATAGTAGCACTTACACGTGCTGTAGAAACACAACATAACATTATACAAATACATTTTTAATATACAAAAAAAAAATACTAATGAAAAATATGCTAGAGTTCTATAGCTACTAAAACAAGGGTATTTTTTTAAATATTAAATTTGTATTTGACTATACATATAATTAAAACTAAATTATAATTATAATTAATTTTCGTAAAATAACAATTTACACACTAATAAGATATAATAAATATAATAAAAAAATTATCATTTAATTTATTCATTATTATATATGGTAATAATTCATTTTTTAGTAATAAAACACAATAATAATTTAAGATGAAATTTTGTGTACATTAATTCAAATTGAATTTTTTTAAATAATATAAATTAAAAAGGTGCAATACATTTATTGTAAAAATAGTACGCAAAATAATACATTCTAATGAAATAATAATATAAAAATTTATACGTGTTTCAAGCAAATTTTTATTATTACTTTACGTTGTTATCATTTAATACTAAACTAACATTTTTTCAAACGATTTATGATATGAAACCAGTGATGCTTTTCAACATTCTTTTAGTGGATTCAACAAAAATTTAACATTTATTACATTTAAATAAATTTTTGGAATTAAACATTTATATTGAGTATGATATAAATATAACAGTGTCTGGGGTTTAGACCCTCAGTAATTTTCTATATATACATAAAACACTAAAATATTATATTGAGTATTTTGTATTTTTTGTTAGAAAATAAAATTCATATATCGCACTATCATAAAGTTGAGGGGAGTTGGCCAATATACTATTAATATTTCGCATTACCTTGAATAAATGTTATAAGATAACTTCAAGAACTTTTTTAAGTAAATTCAATAATTATAGGAAATACCTAATTTACATTTTCATATTTATAACTAAACTATAACTCATAATATATTCCAGTGAGTAAACCTATTTACTAGTTTTACTTGAAATCAGGGCCATACTTGAAAGTTTAGTAACTCGGTTTAGTTAGTAGCTAAAAAAATTGGCCTTTCGCAATTATTTATTAATGCCAAAAATGTATTATTAAGAAAAAAATACACAGTTGAAAAAAGATTGGCTAAGTACAAGATCTGTTTAAAATTCCTTAATTAAAAACTACGTGATGGCATTGGATAAATGTCATGATGTTTTAAGCACGTAATAAATATTTTTGAACTTTTTCATTGTTTGTGAATAAATGATATAAACATTGAACACATTTTAAACTATTAAGATATTTAAAATAACAAATGTTAAACCATTACTTTCTTCAGTTATATGTCTTCGAGCGTTTTATCATTTCTATTACATATATGTAAAAATAAACTAGGGATATGTTAAAATAAGATTTTTTTTAATGTTAAGTTTTACAATGCTATAACTAATTGTATGAGTGGAATAAATTCATGTAAATACTCAAGTTCATTTTCAGCAAAATATTTAGTTAATTTTCAATTAATAAAGAAATAATAACATGGAAATTCGTAATAACGAATTGTACTATGTAACGCAGTGTTAAACTATCATTAATGTTTATATAGTTTATTTAAATCTATATAAAATTTTGTACTGTAGTGACCTGAATGAGTATATTTCATTTTTTACTATTTTATAAGGTTTGACTATATATATTAGATGGTCTACGACGGCTCGATAAATCAACTTTTTATCCAGCGAAAATTTTACATTGCTTTTTTTTAATCATTTTAAGTTTTGCACTTTATTAAAATGCATATTTTGTATTATTTATCTATCATAAAAATACAATTTTTATATTACTTAAAATTTTATAAAGATAATTATTGAGTTACTAGCAGTTTAATTGATAGATTGGGTATGTAGCTTTAGCGGATAGTTTGTACTAAATAATATTTTTAATACACACTCCGTATAGCCCAGCACAGTAGGGACGTGGTTTAGTTGGGTCAAGTATAATGATAGTGACTAAAATCACTATTATAAAAAACGCTTTGATGCAAATCTGTAGATAGTGTTTAATTTTAAAAATTGGTGGATTATTCCAAAAGCTACATGATCTCCTATTTCCTTATTTATATCCTGATTACAAGTTTTATGATTTATAATATATAAAGGAAAATGGTTTTATTTAAAAAAAGTATGTCGAATGAAAAAGGTATATAAATAGTATTTATCATAAAAAAATTATAATGATCTATACATTTTTCAAAAAGCATTATAAAATTAAAAATATAGAACAGAATTTTTTTTACAAAAATCTTATTTTTTTATTAACTCTGATGTTAGTTTTCACCATGAAAACAAACTAAAGTTTGAAAATTTTCTTTTTCATATTAAAGTATATTACATAAGTTTTAATTTAATATATACAGGGTGGCCCACCACTCACTGACAACTTAAATAACTTTTGATCCAGTTAATATTTTTAGCTGATTTTTTTTTTAAATAATAGTTATACGTTAGGTCTATAACTATATCTCAATAATTAATTTTTTACATTTTATTAAAAATATTTATTATTTTTAAATTTTAAATAAAATGTAAAAAAAAAAATCTAAGATATCTATTTTGTAGAGTAAAATTNAATCTAAGATAGCTATTTTGTAGAGTAGAATTTCAGAAAAATTTTAGTAAAAAAATATCTTATTAATATTCAGTAGTAAATATTCTGTAGCGTTTTGAAGTTTGTGAAAATTTGGATTTTCATGTATTATTTTACGGTATTAAACATTGAAATACGTATTGAGAAAAGGACAGAAGAAAACGCTATCTTTTCATGATTACTATAATTTGGAGGTGTGTAACTTTTTCCATGAAAATGGCTTATACTTTTGAATGAGAGTGATAAGTAATAATTGCCTTATCTAATTTCTTATCATGGTATTAATGCCAAGTTTGTAATGTATACACATTATCATTATATGTATACACAGTAATTATTGAGATATAGCTATAGACCTAACGCATAACTATTATTTAAAAAAAAAATCAACTAAAAATATTAACTGGATCAAAAGTTATTTAAGTTGTCAGCGAGTGGTGAGCCACTCTGTATACATTAAAGTTATTAGTATGTGCATGGGCGCCCGCAGAGGTGGGCAAGAGGAGGCGTTTGCCCCCCCCTGAACTTTGGAAATACATTTTTAAAAATTATAACCAATCTGATTTAAATTTGTATAATCTTAAAATTTTATTTATAAAACAAAAAAATCTAACCGGATTTCTAGATGTATTTATTTTAATTGACTTAATGATTTTATCGTCATATGCCGTTACATTATTGTCTATTCGTAATAGCTATCGGCTATTGTCTAGTATATTTGAGAGGTTTTTATCAATTTGTACGGAAATTCCATAATGGAACGACGAGTGACGATAGACTATTCTAGTTTTATTTGTCAGCACACTTCCTTCAATGAAACACGCAAACAAAGCTGCCTAAATACAATACTATACATTTATAAGTATTTTTATAGTAAGTTTTATTTTTATAAATCATAATTATATTTATATAGTCGATTGTCTAATATTATACTATTATGGACATCAGAAATTTTTTCAAAAAACCTAAGTTCTGTGATTCTGATAATCAACTCTCAACTTCAGTAATTGAAATAAATAATACAGAACCGTATGAAATTGAAAGTACTTCGGTTGCTATAAATACAAAAAGTAATGTTATTAGTATTGGGATAACATATGAAAAAGATATTGGAAAATATTTAAATCAAGAAAATATTAACAATTCTTTGAAATTCGAACTTTTGCGTCATCCTTGGGTACCCAACACTAATTATAACTTTAAAAGTGATTTGAAACCATGAAATACTCGTGTATTTAGGCACAATTAGTTGCACGAAAACAGTTCATGGTTAACTTATTCAGCAGTTGAGGGTGTGAAAGGAGCTTTTTGTAGAGTATGTGTGCTGTTTAAGTCATCTATTCACAGAGGTGTACAAGGTAAATTTATAATAAAACCATTTACTAAGTACAAGGATTTTCATAACTTTTCTAAAATACATATATCTTCAAAGGGGCATTCTGAATCAATGTCTAGAGCTAAAGATTTTATGGATATTATGACTGATAAAAAAATTAGTGTGATTGAACAAGTAAATGTTGGACTACAAAAAGAAATAGAAACTAACAGAAAAAAAATTAAAATCCATAGTATCAACCATTGTATTTTGTGGAACTCATGACATTGCTTTGCGAGGGAAAAAAACAGATTCAGGTAATTTTCATGATCTTCTACATTTTCGTGTTGATTCAGGCGATGAGATGTTAAAAAATCATTTTTTAAGCTGTGCAGGAAATGCTAAATATTCATCTCATAGAACACAAAATGAACTAATAACATTGTGTAGGAAAATATTAAAAGAAAACATAGTGTGTGAAGCCAATGCTGCAAATGCGTTTTCTATCATTGCCGACGAAACAGCAGATATTTCTGGTGTTGAGCAATTGACAATTGTAATTAGATTTTTAGACAAACAGTCAAATCCTTTTATATCATTCAAATAAAATACGAGAAGAATTTCTAGGCTTATTACCCTTAAATAAATTAANTGTGGAACTCATGACATTGCTTTGCGAGGGAAAAAACAGATTCAGGTAATTTTCATGATCTTCTACATTTTCGTGTTGATTCAAGCGATGAGATGTTAAAAAATCATATTTTAATCTGTGCAGGAAATGCTAAATATTCATCTCATAGAACACAAAATGAACTAATAACATTGTGTAGGAAAATATTAAAAGAAAACATAGTGTGTGAAGCCAATGCTGCAAATGCGTTTTCTATCATTGCCGACGAAACAGCAGATATTTCTGGTGTTGAGCAATTGACAATTGTAATTAGATTTTTAGACAAACAGTCAAATCCTTTTAGATCATTCAAATAAAATACGAGAAGAATTTCTAGGCTTATTACCCTTAAATAAATTAGATGTAGAATCGGTTGCT